CTTCCTGCATGTCTTCCGGCCTGTCTCCCACTCCGCCCTTCTCTTTGCCTGTCTCCATCAGTGTGGGTACCTCTATCCATGCATGAATCGAACACCCGCTTCGAGACGGTACGGGCCAATTGATGTCATGAAAAATACCTTCACTGCAAATTGATCGATACAGAACTTCTTAGATTCCGTTACAGTCATGAATGGTCCTACAGACAGATAAGGCAAAAGGAAAAGAGAAAAAGGAACGGGAAGAAAAGAGAAGGAAATTCCCAGCTAGAAGAACTGAAATGTACGAGAAGCGAAAAAAGATAAGCAAGCTGAAAGAACATGGGTATATGAAAAAATGGAGAACTACAGTTCTAACAGAATGAACAAGAAAAATGATCGGATGAAGCGAACAGGAGATTGACAAAGAAAATAATCGGACAGTAAGTGCAGCAGAGAAAGGAAAATGGAAAGAAAAGGAACTCATGAAATAGATTTGGTCAAAGCACAATTTCAATCTACCAGCCTAGTAACCACATGTGACAGAAGAAATGATCTTCCGCACGGCCTCACTCCCTCTCATCCCGAATTCTCTTACAAACTCTATGACGCCGTTTTCCCTCCTCCCACTCCCCCTTATCCATACCATGCCACCGAACATGAACCTGACACTTCGTTCATTCCCTACTTCTTAAAACCCTCCTTACACTCAGCATTACCACTGCTTTCCCTCCTGACCTTCCTATATCCCTCTCCAAATGAGGAAAATAAGACAAATTTGCTCAAGATCATATTAAATTTCAATTTCAGTCTATTACGCTGACCGGATGCCTCACAATGAGAGATGTTCGCTCCACCACGATCTGACCGTTCATAGAAACTCTTACAAAATCTCAACGGCACTGCTCTGACCGCGCCCCTTTACCCGCACCAGTTTGCTGAGAAAGATGATGAATTAGTGATGAAATGCTTAGGATTCCGTTCAAATTTTCTACTTTTAAGATTTCCTCAACATTCAAACACTACCAAGCTTACTCTCTCCACTGCTTCCCTCCCCACCTCATCTACAGCAGAGTCACCTTTTCAGCACTCGCTTCATTTTTCCCAACACTACGTTGTAGAATGAACTACAGATGAAGACCGGCCGCGCACAAGGCTCAAGACAGCAGGAGAATATTGAAAGAAGAAGATATGACACAGAAAAGGAATGACTACTCCTCTATGAAAGTCCTGCATTGAACAAGTTCAGTAAAGTTCTGTCATAACATCACAAGCGCCCGTTTCATCCCAAGCGGCTGATCTGTTTCACCATGGACCATAGACCATACACTGCTGTTGGAAACAAGATGGAAGGGCAGAGGAGTGAAAACCGG